GCCCGGGCTCCGAGAACTTCAGCGGCGGGCCGTGGATTTAGTTTGTTTCCTTTTTGAGACAGGGTCTCGCTCTGCAGTCCAGGCTGGCCTTGAGCTCAGTGTGGCCCATGCTGGTCTCGAACTCCGAACGATGCTTCTGCCTCAGCCTCCAGAGTGCTAGGATTACAGCCTTGTGCCATCAGGCCCGTCCAGGCCATGGATTTAGAATAGGAGGACGCTTAGGTTCAGGAACGTGATGTGCTGTCAACCTGATGCAAGAGATTTTTCCCCGCGGATGTGACCCACGACTGCGCTGGCCTGGGAATGCAGACTTGTTATCAAACAGAACACATTTTTTTTTAAAGAACAGCTGTGTTTGAGTTTTGTTTCCTTGGCGAGGCCCTTAGGCTGCTTTGCCGATTGCCTCAGGCAGTGGGCAAGGTAACTAGTGCTGTTATTTGCTAACAGTGCTTAAGGAGGGAATATGTGCATTTTGATGTTTGACCTCACCTGTTGATACCCAAGTTCTGCCAAGTGGTGCGTGTGCACATAAAATTTCTTAATTTTTGCATATAATTCACAAGAAATAGAATCTTTGTCCCAGAGGGGTCAGAGGGTACTTAGCTAACTTACAGACTTAGAACGCACACAACCTCTCCCTAAATGGCCTATTTTTCTCAGACAAAAAGTGAGACATCACTTGGGATCACGCTTCTTGTGCGGGAACCAGAATCGTGAAGACCAGCTTACTCCTCACGTTAGGCAGTTCAAAACCCGGCAGAGCGGCGGGAAGCACCCCCTGGATACCCAGCCAGCCTCAGGATACCAACGCAGAGGACGCAGAGCCGTTAGCAACGACGTAACACCCGGCCCGAACGTCACGAAAAGGAGTGACGCACAACTCGCGCAGGCTAGAGCGCCTGCGAGGCTCCGCCCACCCGGCGTTTGAGCCCGCGAGCATTGCGGAAGAGGCGTGGCCCAGAGCGAGAAGAGCACATTGCGCATGCGCCTCTGGGTTCTGCCCTGTGAACCAACTAGCAATCTCGCGAGGCTTGCAAGTAGGTGGTGTAGGTAGTTGTCCAGGATGCTGTTGAGATAGATGTTAAGGCCAGGGAAGAGGAGGAGGAGAAGGCAGTTCTCTGGCTCAGTCTCTGTTTCGCTTTCCTTTCCCTTCCCGCTACCCTCCAAGTCAGCCCGCCCCCCGACCTCCGTAACCCGGTTAACTCCGCCCATCAGCGACGAGGTTCCCGCCGTGTGGAACCGGAGCCCCGCGGAAGAGGACGACCGGAGGGCCGGCTGAGGCCCGCGGCGAGGCGGGCTGCTTCCGGGGCCTCCCGCTCCCTCCTCGGTGCGTAACGACCTCGGCGCCAGGGCTCCGCTGCCCCGCGTCCCTGCCGCCGGCCCGGGCCCCGCGGGTGACGCAGACGGAAGATCATGTCGACCGCGGCGGAGCCTCCACCGCCCCCACCTCCCGAGAGCGCGCCTTCCAAGCCCGCCGCCCCGGCCAGCGGCGCGAGCTCCAGCAGCAACAAAGGCGGCTTCGAGGGCGCCGCGGCCCCGGCGGTTCCTGCTGCATCCGGCGCCGGCCCCGCGGACGCGGAGGTGGAGGTGAGGGCGGCTCGCGGCGGGGGTGGAGGGGCGCCTCGGGCCCCCAAGCGCTGTCCCGCGCGGTCACCGCCGCAAACCACCCCACGTGTGTCTCTCGCACTTTGCGTTGAAAGTGTCTGTCTCTGTGTGAGTCTTGTCACTTTCGATCGCTCTGCTCTCTTTCAGAAGAGGTGCTCGATTTACTTTGCCCCCTGCCCTCGTAGTTGCGTCTTAGTTTCTCAGTTTGTGCTTGCGTTTCCACCAAACTTCGGGGGAAGCGCGAGGGAGCTGCCCGTGGGATCGGCCCGCGGGCGGGGGGCGGTCTGGAAAATCGGCGCGTCCTGGGACCGGGCCTCTTTCTCGTCCCTTTCCTCGCGAGGACAGCGCCTTTCCGAGGAGAAACAATGGCGAGAGCTGTGGCCGAGCGCGCCGTGGGGCTGAGCGGGGCGCAGCTGCTCCGGGAAGGGCGAGGAGGCCCCTCCCAGGCACTACTCCTCCGGGAGGAGCGGCAGCTGGCTGGGATCCCTTCTCATTTGGGGGATGGATGGGCGGACGGAGGTGCTGGCAAACCAGGAGCGGCTGGCTCCCTTTCAGTCCAGCTGGGTTTTTCTCCTTGGGCTTTGGTCTTAAAGAAAAAAAGATGTTGCCACTCGCTGCTGAGCCCTCTGGGGTTTGGGTTGGCCGAGGACTGGTGACAGGACGGGGGAGTGCAGAGGACGGGGAACTGCCGGGCGGTCTCCTGAGTGTTCCTAACCTTCGTGAAGTTTGGGAACAAAATGATTGCTTCCAGCTTTTACTCGTGGCCTTCGACTAGTTTTGAGATGCAGTCTTGTGTAGTCCCAGCTCGAAGATTGTTAGGATTTTTCAATCCTTGAAATAGTATGATTGCAAGTGAGCCTTAGTGGAGAATTAACGCAGTAAGGAAATGGAAGCTTGGTCTGCACCTCTAGGGTGAGGTGGCATTGTAATAGTCTTTAGCCTATTAGTGCTGAGCGTAGGTTTTAGTGGAACATAATGTTCTGAGTTTTCAGTGATCTAATTTGTTTCCAATCAAAATTATTCATTTCCTTTTTTTTTGAAATTTTTTCCTTTTTTTTTGAAATTTTGATTTGAGTTTGTATATTTAAATTACAAAGAAGTTAAAGTTTAAATATGAATGTGAAGCCTTGTGAGGTTGTGTGCGCTTGTATTCGAAGCAGTTGGGAGGATGGAGGTCAGCAGTCAGTCCAAGGCTAACCTGAGTTAGTGAGACATAGAAAAAAGACAAAAATGTGCATGTGACGATAACTACTATGTAAATCCAGTAGTATTTTGTGCTGGAGATTGAACCCAGGCCTCAGGCAAGCTAGCCTAGTGCTTTGCCACTGAGGCACATGACCCTAAACTTGATTTTTATCTGTCAAGCGAGGAAAAGGGAGTCTTCTAAGTAAAACCTGAAATACAATTCAGGTTTGGCTCTAAAAACAAGCCTTTTGTCACATCTTGGATGGTCCTGTGTAAGTTGAACAGTTTTCTCTTAAAGAATGAGTGTTATTTTCATCTCAGTGTAGAGATACCAAAATTTTAATTTTCTTACATTTCTCTTAATTTTTCTCTTCACAAATCGATTTATTTAACATTTCAAAATATTCTCTTGTATTCTTGGTTGAACTCACAGTCACTGAGGCTTATGGTTTAAGAACTAGGTTTGAGCACACATGTATAACATATGTGATACTCTTACTCTGTGTATGCAGAAAGGTATTTTAAAGTGCCTCTGTCATGTTTGAATTTAAGGTCAATTTTTTTCCACAATCAAGACAATGAATCTAGCATTCAACTTTTTTCCAAGTTGATTTTTCCTAGAAATAATTGCCTATTTATTTAGTTAAATCTTTACTATGGGAGAAATAATAACTACTTTTGGAAAACACATTTACTTTTTTCTCAGGTCATATTTGACCTTTAATGGAATTACAGCAGGATTTTTGTAAACTGGACTAGATTGATGGTTCTGTCATTTCTGTTTGTGGATAGACACAAGCTGAACCTAAGTGCAAGGATGCTTAAAGAGTTTAGCAATGGAGTTAGTCTTCATTTTAGGCCTTTTT